TTTGAAACTCAGCCAATGGAAACTCTATGGCTCACAGCATTTCAATCCACACCGATCACAGGGATGGCACAGGACAGGCAGCATTCTGTCCTAGTGTACACGGGGTCTGGGCTGACCCATGGTACACAGCAGCTAACTGTACCAACATGCTCACTGGAAGCCAGAGGCCCAGAGTGTCTGTCTGAGCCATGAACCTGGAAGGCCAAATGTATTCTAGAAACAGTACACATTTTATTCCTGGGGCAATCTGTGACTTGAATCACCAGGCTTCAACAAACATTTGTTTCCTGGTACCTCAGTTTCTTTTTTTTATATATAAGGTCTTGGTGTGCAGCATCCTGGTGAGAAAAAAAAGACACAAAAACATAAAAACAAAGTGTACCGGCCCAGGTCAGGGAGGCCCATCTGTGTAAACAGCACTAAATAAACTCTGAGGTGTTGTAAAAGCTGCAAGACGGTTTTCTGAGGACAGACAGAAGGCAAAGTGCGTCTTGTGTAGGCGCAAGCAAACTATTTACAGCCCAGGAAGGTCCTGACGGCCCTTTCTAGAAACCTGATTACTCTGTTTATGATTCCTCAGGCAGCCAAGGGTAAAGTGTCGTGGCTCAGTCAGATGGCAGAAGCTTAAAAGAAAAGTGAGCGCCTCTCTCCTGGGGCCTTTAGGGTGGGGGGCAGGGGACGTGCTAGAGGCAGAACATAAATCACTACATCAGCAGCAAACACAACATACAACTGGGTCTGTTCAATGTGCCATCTCTGTCTAAAATAAACACGATACAAAAGGCATGGATTCCAGCCGAGCTAGGATGAGTTTAAAGTCTGCCAAGGCAGTTTGGTGGTGGCAGCATATAGTTTTGTGGTTGTTTTGGAGTTCAAGCTGAAGACTCCTGTCCAGATCCCCATGTCACTTTGTCCCCCTGCTTAGGGGCAGGGAGGTTTACACCAGCAACTGCTCTTTACCGCACAAGCAAGAGCCATCTTACACTGGGGTGGTCCTCTTGCTTTTACTCAACATAGCGTTTCTAAGAAGTTTGTGTCACTGGAATCATATAGAAAAGGCTCTGGCTCTGCATCCAAAAACACTGTGGGACGAAAGTATGTCAGAATGTTGATGGGTTTTCTGTGGGGGGTATGTGGGTTTAAAAAAAATTGTTAAGTGCCATTGAGTCGGTTCCAAGTCATAACAACCCTGCATAGAGTTTCTGAGGCTTTACATCTTCAAGGTAACTGAAGGCCTTAACTTTCTCCCAGAGTGGCTGGCGGGCTCGAACTGCAAACCACAAGGTTTGCAATCCAGTGCTTATCACACGTACCCACCACTCATTCCCATTAAGTGTTTCTTGTCTGTTTGATTTTTCATAATAAGCATACATTTTGTAAGCAGAGAAACAACAGAAGTGTTTATGAGAGGAGGCATACTGGGTACTTATCAGTGTCTGACAAAGACCCCTCTGGAAACAGAGCTCTCAACCCTCAATGTGCTTATCTTTGGAGGTTAGTAACTAGAGGCAGAAAGAAAGAAAGAAAGAAAAATCAACAATTTCTCTAAGGGACTCTCCTGTCCCTAAAAGGAGCCTTGCAAAGTACCTTTTAGTGGCGGATGAATCAGTTCTTCATTTCTCAGCTTGACTTTAAATGTCGACATTTCTGTATTTCAGATTTTTCTAAAGTGAGACACACCTACATTCGATTCCATTTTCCAGAACTGGCAAACAAAAGGGCCAGCATCCATGAGAAGGATGTGACCACCTGGTCATTAGCCGTGCAGGGACTGGCTGGTGAGCTTTGTCCTTGTTCCCTAGATAGCCTGGGGCAGGCCCATGTGACCAGCAAGACTTCACAAAGCTGATAACCACAAAGCTAGTCAGATCTGAAGAAATGCCTCTGTAAGTCTAAGTTCATCTTGGGAGACACTGTCATGAGGGCAGAAGAATTCAGAGGCTGGATCTGACTAATCATACAGGACACAGCAGAACTGCCCCTGGTGGCACTGTGCCCCTGGTGGTTAGGTGGGTTGGTCAGCAGTTGGAACCCACCAGGTGCTCTGAGGGAGAAAGATGAGGCTGTCTCCCTCTGTAAAGTTTACAGTATTGGAAACTCTGCATAGGATCACTGTAAGTTAGAATGGACTCTTTGGCCATGGATGGGTTTACAGGATTTCCAAGGCTATAAATCTTATGGAAGCAGATTTCCTTATCTTTCTCCCACACAGCAGCTGGTGGGTTCAAACCATCAACCTTTTGGTAACCTTTTGGTTAGCAATAGAGTGTTTTAACCACCATGCCACCATTGTTCCTTAGAGTCAAGACATCTGATTCAAATCCCTGTGGATCCATTTATCAGTTCTGTGTCTTTAGGCAACTTATTTGGCCTCTCTCTACCTCAGTCTTCTCTACTATAAAATAAGTATAGTAATAGTGTGCACCCTCACAGGGTTTGTTTGAGGATTAAATACGAGAGGACTTCAAAAAGCTGGTGAAAAATTCCACTATCTTTTCATTCCATTCTTCCATGAACTTTTTGAAGCCCTTTCACATAAGCTAACATATTCAAAAATATTAAGAACAATGGCATATCTTTGGCAGTTTATAACTGTTGGCGATTACATCATCCTCCTCCAATGCTATTGTCTGATTATGAGGTTTGGAAGTCCCTCAAGGACTTGCTCAGGGACATACAACTAGTAAAGGATCAACAATGGAGTCAAACCCAGGTCTTCCGTCTTCAGTGTCACCTTGTTGGCCAACTTTCCAACACTGCATCCCACTGAGTGGAGAAGCTGTACACCTCGACCAGAGACAGCAGATGCGCAGACTTCTTAAGAGTCAATGTCTTGGGGTAGAGGAGGAAATTCATATGTTGGACAAGGGCACAAGTAACTGGAGCCCCAACCCATGCTCAGTCTGAGCGTTCTCAGGCCTGACCTATGTTTTGTCTGTGGTCCAGGCAGAAAGCAAAATCTTTTGGTTGCTTCTCCTCAGGTTCAACCCAGATAACTCCTCATCTCTAGATGCTTTGAGGAAGTTGTACTCAGAGTCATGAGTATTAATAGGAATCATCAGCTAGCTTGTGTCTGCCCAGCAGATACTATTTCAAAGGGCTTTCATGGGAGTATCACGACATCTTCAGGGGTAGAACAGGTATGACCACAGGGACTAGACAGAGAAACACTGGTACTGAGACTTGCCCAAAGTCACTCAACTGGCCATAATGGGTTTTCCCTACCACTCTTATAGCTACAAGTTAAAAGAAGGTTTCTTGTTCAATAACAACTATTGTTACTGGATAGTTTGCAAATCATTGTCATATACGCATCTCATTTGATCCTCACAAGGGCAGGACAGCTCTGGTCTATCTTGCGCCTCATCCTCACCCTCCAGCACTGACCACTGACGCAGAAGGCTTGCAGGAATAGTCAAAGATTGGAGGCATAATCAAAATGATAAATTATACCAACCAGGTGAGAACCCTTCAAAACTCATTATTAGGATGTTTTTGTCCCCATCTAAGGAATGGAGCTTCAGAGAAGTGATGTGACTTGCCTGAGGCTGCACAGCTGGTGGGCTTCAGAACAAAGACTTGAATTTGGGCCCTTTGACTCCACATCACTAGGAAAGGGCCTCTTAAGTAAAGATTAGCGGTGAAGGGTGAGGATGAGGTATAGGACAGATCACAGAGTGGCCCTTGTCACTCCTCACCCCTTGCAGCCCCTTTAAAAAGGGATTCAGTTGGCTGAGTTCTGGAATGGAGTCAACACACAAGCCCTGACCCTAGTCTTCCTGCCACCCGATGTGGCTCCCTCTTCTCATCACAGTTCCCCCAGTACCAGGGGGGAGGTCTCAGAGCAGCACTGTAGGCAGTGTGTGGAAGATGGGGGTGCTGATGGAGGTCAGCTCATCAGCATCTTCTGTACAAGGCCAAATAACCAGGGCTTGCCGAACCCAGCCATTCTACTTACTGACCCAAGGATGCCAATGTCGTGGTCGTGACTGGAGCAAAGAGAAGGAAACAACAAAATTCTTTTCCACAGAATGTGGCCTCCCAAGCAGTGCTCTCTCATAGCATGCCTTCCACGAAACAACACAAATAAAATGATGGAAATAAATAGAACTCTCAGCCCTGAAGGCCTCGTGTCTTGTCACGAACCTCACCTCCACTCAGTCACGCACCAGGCTCTAACACCTGCACGTCATTCCTTGCTCTTTTGAGGTTTTGCACGTAGGCCCTACATGTGGAGGGGATGCACGTGGAGTCCTGCTCTCATCAGCCTGCACTAGTGGCATGAAACCAGAGAAGCGTCTGCAGCTGCTCACAGCATGAATTTTAAATGTACAGACACAAACACGCGCCCTCTAGCAGAATCCCACCAAATGCATTTTGTATTATACTCAGCTCTGCATCTCCCACCCCCAGCCCCAGGCTCCTGGGGAGGGAAGAGCAGCAGGTTAATTCCCGGGAGAAAGGAGACAATGACTGAACCCAATGAGAAAACGGAAGGGATGATGCTTTCAGAGCTCTGGGGGACTAAAGCACATGTTACAGAGAGAAGACCGCAAACAAAACAAAATGTATTAAATGGCAGCAGCCATTTCCCCAAGGGAGCAACAAATACTACCTGGTCCATTCTTTTAAACACATTTTCTCTTTCTGAGTCACAATTCAGAGTTACCCTTTCATGGGAAACAGTACACGTCAATGAAACATTAGAAAGTTTTTCTAAAATGTCACAAAAATGCAACCTCCTCCCTCCCCACAAACCAGGGCTAAATACTAGAAAGTCTGACTTTTTTTCCATTTGAAGAGTTTTTGTTTTTTTAAAATTTGTGAGTTTCAATAGTAGATGGACTGAATAGAATATTCTGTATTCAAGGTTAAGCCATCCTGGACTGCAAAAAACCACACCTGCACTGTCTTTGCCCAACTTCCTCTCCTCAGGCATGGCTGGAGACACAAAGGTGCTGATGTCAACAGTGACAAAGGAAGAGAGATTCTGTACTCACATTTGTCCCCGGGGAAGCCGAAGGAAATGACCTCGCTGGAATGGCTGCATACGATGCTCCGAGATTTGAGGTGTAGTCTAAATGACAAATTACACAAGCCAGGTGAACACCTAGCCAATCTACTTGACCTTCAAAGGTATTATTAGGACATACATAGGAAAGAAAAACGAATGTTTCCTCGTAATTAGTGATCAGGGTGATTATACTTCTGGACATGTTAATAGGCAGCACAGCTTTAGAGCTAAACTATGTTAAGTGAACATCCGTGAGCTCCGTCTGACAGCAGGCCCAATACATTTGAGTGTCTTAAGATCTGTTTGCGTTCTGAACATACAGGAAGGGCACATCAGGACTGTCAGACTGTTAGGCCTTTAGACAACAAGGCTGCAGGAAGCTGACCTCTATTTCATGCCTCTGACAGGACCCTCACTCACCTTCGTTCCCGGCGGGGCTGTACACGGCTGTGCTGTTGGGGGAGGCACACAGTGTGCCCTCTGCAGAGCCAAGGACACACCGGACTCCAGCACTGGAGAGGGAAGGAAAGGGGGAACCAGTTCCATAATAAATTAAACATAGGCTTCTCCATGACCCACTCCTAGGCATCTCCCTGGAAGAACTGAAAACAGGTGTCCAAACAGAAACTTGTACACTTGTACGCAACTTTTAGCATTTTAATTCCTTTCTGCATTGTTATGTGTGTAACTTCAGTGGTGTTGTCAATGTTTTTGTAAATATTTGCTATGATTTTCTATTTAGCTTAATTTCCAACAGTTTTGTAATTAAATAAAATATACACATTGCAAAAAAAAAAAAAAAAACAACTCACACTCGCTAAAGTGCAGAAACAACTCAAGCATCCACCAAATGGATAAATGGAAGGGAGTCTCTGGTAGCGTAGTGGTTACGAATCGGGCTGCGAACCTTAAGGTCAGCGGTTCGAAACTACCAGCCGCTCCGCGGGAGAAAGATGAGGCTTT